TTCATTTATTCCTTTAAAAGGTTGCCCCGCTTGCAAACGTTTTCTCACAGACTCCGCTGTTGAGCGGCTTGTAATGACCCGTCAAAACGCAGGCTGAGAACACTGCTGATTTCTGAAGTTATGTCGATGGAATGGATGCCTTGCTGAGATTCCCGCATTCTGCTGTGTTTTCTAAGTCTGTCTGTGTGTGCGTGCTTGTGACCTGCGTGCCTGTCTGAACACTGCTGATTTCTAAGTTTGTCTGTGTGTGCGTGCTTGTGACCTGCGTGCCTGTCTGAATGCTTGYCGGTATGAGTGAGTGTGTGACCCACAAGGGTACTTGYTTGTTTGGTGGGCCYRTAGGGCCGGTACTTACCTGTGGCCGTGGCATTGAGGGTTGTAGCAGGGAAAAACACTCAAGTGGCGAAGCTACCGGCCCCGCGGCCCTTGGGGTAGCGGAAAAACACTCAAGTGGGCCGGTAGACCGATACTGCACCCCACTGCAGTTGGCGTGAGGGGGTACTGGAGGCCGAGCAGAAAAAGACAAAGTTGGCATTTTTAGAGTCCGGTAGCGGTACGGTAGGTCTAGGCCGGTACCAGTCCAACCAGTCTGAGTCTAGAGCCTGTACGGGTAATATCAGGGTCTGCAATGATGTTTCCCTCCGAAACGGAGGAAGTACCGGTTGCTTGGAGAGGCCGAGCGGCCTGGAAGTCACCGCCCAGGAGGCAAGTAGGCCGCTATATCAAGAGGCAAGGCGGAGAGCCCAGCCTCATTCTTCAATGTGCAAGTTTGGCGACACGCTGCTGGAGCGCTGGTTGGAGTAGCGCTGGGTACTACAGCGCTGCTGGGAGGAAGAAGCCGGGAGCTTCCACCTTGGCTATGGTGGAGCTCTACCGGTAGGAGGAGGAGGGAGAAGGGGACCAAGGAGGAGAGTGGCGAGGCACTTACTGGCTATGGTAGACACCATCTTCATCTCCTTGCTAGGCGCTGCATCAGGAAGGCCCCAGTGGGGGTAGTGCCGCATCAAGGAAACTCGGGACAGAGTCAGGCATGGTGGCTGAGTGAGCAGCAGCATAGCTGCATGGTGATGACCTTAAGTAGGGCAGCGGCATAGCTGCTTTGTGTTTTCCTTTGGACAGGAGGCTGAAGCCTCAGTAATCCACCATAGCCTCATCCGGTATGTAGAGGAAGAAGAAGGGTGACCATGGCTATGGTGGACCTCATGTTGTGCCTGCAGTAGAAGTGGGATTTGGACATTGATTCTGGTTCAGTCATTCAACATTATTATTGTTATTTATTGTTTGAATAAGAGAGAGGAGATAAGGAGGAAGGGATTGGTTGGCGAAGAAGAAGAGCCTTGACATTGGTCTATGCTGGAGTACATCATCATCTTCTTCTTTCTCACTTCTTCTTCTTCTTCTTTCCCTCTCTTTCCTCTCAAGTTCATTCATTTCTTTTTGCAATTGGATGGCATTGTACTTTCAGATGAATGTATACTTCGAAATTGGCCAGGATCGTAACATTGGTATCGGAGCGGATTCTACTTGTTGGCGAGAGTTGACTTTGCTGCCATAACCCTAACCCTAGTGGTAAGGGCTAACCACTTAGGGTTAGGGCTGGAAGTTAGGGTTAAGTGGGGCAG